CGGAAAATTCACTTTTCTGATGGTTGGAATCATCTCTGCTTTTCTTATCTGAGCATGAGCTGCTTTTCCATTTGTCAGCCTTGTCCTATAGCTCTGTTTGGCTGTTTTTCAGTCTGGTGTCTAATAAATACATTTACACACAACAGTCATATCCCCTTTCAGCTTTTTGCTGAGTCAGACAAAAGCAGCAAAGCATTTCCCTCTCTTCCCTGAGTGGTGGCTCTCCAGTCTGCAGCCACTGCAGTTGTACCTCTCTGCAGTTATTCCAGGTTTAGCATATTTTCTTGACATCCAGTGCAAAGACTGCACACAGAATTTCAGATAAGGCCACACTCCCAGGTCTTTAAATGGCATGAATATTTCTTTTTTTATTACAGAGGAATACAGTACTATATTTCATGTGTGCATCTAAAATATTCAGGCACGCGTATTTGATGTAATAAAAAAACCCCACTGCTACTTTTTTTGTAACAACATTTTTTTCTAGCTCAATGGAAACTCTAGATTTCATACTTCTGCTCTTCATGCCTGGATCTTAAAAAAAAGATTGATCCCAAGACTGATTTTTGAGAATTCCTGCCAGTAAATTTCCTGCAGTTTGATGCTGCTTCTCTCAGTGCCACCTGTTGCCATCTATCCATTAGACAATCTCTTATCCACTTTACAACTCTTCCTCTAATCCCCTGTTCCCTATGTAATACTGTCTCATATGCAGCACAGATACAGATAAGATGTATCACAAATCCTTTGTCTAGAAAATCAGTTATCTTATTAAAGAGCAATAACAAATTCACTGGCTACGAGCTATCTTCAGTAAATCCTTTTTGTGTGTTATCCCATTTTCCATTTACCTCCCTGTCTTCAATTATTTTTTTCCTTCAAAATTTCTTCTAAAGCAACTGAGGTCAATCTAATGGGTTTGTTGCTGCATAGGTCTCCCTTTGATAAATGGATAATACATTTGCTCTTCTCCAGTCAGCCACTATCATGTCTGAGCTGCTTCCCACCAGGTTTGGGAGTTCATGTTCCCTTTCTTGTCAGATTGGGGAATGGAGTTTATTTGATACCTCTCCCTGTCCTGAGTACACTGGATTTTTAGTTTTGCTTCCAGTTTGATAATTCTTATCATCACAGCTTCTTTCCTGTTATTTATCCTGTTTCCTCCCTGAAAATATACATGAATTAGTCACTTAGTGTTTAACTGTAAAGAGATTTTCTTCACCTCCCCTTTGTATTGAAATGCCATGTTTCATTTGATCTCATCTGCACAAAGATTGCTTTGCTCTTTGTTTGAATATTCCTTCCAAGTTGTAGTTCAATTTGACTGCTGACAGTTTATTCACTTTATATTTTGACCTCTAATACACATCTGGCTGCTGATACATCTTTTTGATTTCGTCCTGTGCCCTGCATGTCTCTCGTAGTCTTCAAGGGCTTCTTCCTTTGTGTGGAACATCTTGACCACTTTTCCATGTGTTCTCCCCCCTTCATCAGCTGCACATTCCACATATCTTGGATTTAAAGAAATTCCAAGGGTCTTCCATATTCAAGTCCTTGAACAGTCAAATTTCATTAACAAGATCGTTCAGATTAACAAAATTTGCCCTTTGGGCCATAAAGCCTTATGTTTATTGATTGTTCCCTTTCATTTAAATGAGCTTAACTCCTGATTTGGTTGTGGACTGGTTTTCTCATAGTATCTGTTTTGATTATTAGCAGAAAGGCATAGTTCCATCTCTTGCTGGCTGTTGACTGGTAAATCCATGCATTAGTTGGGCCCAAGTGTCTCCTGTTTGATTCATGCCATCCTTTCTTTCTCCTTTCTGATCTATCAGAGCACAGAAGGCATCTGGGCAAGTTTATTTAGTCTTTCTTCTGATCTTTCCTGAGTGGATTGTGCACTTCTGTGCCTTGGTCCCACTGTGCAATTTTACCTTTTCTTTCCTGATCATCCACTGGTATTTCCTCACCCACAGCTCAATTTTCATTGAGCAGATTATCTTCTTGTTGTGTACAGTAAGAAGACACAAGGGTGACATGAACCTCTACCAAGGTTTCCATGTGTTTCTAAAGGTTCTTTTTTAATAGTGTGGATCTCAGACCCAATTTTTTTCCATGGATATTCAGCCAGGTATCATTTTCATGAGTCTTCACTTTCTAGGCATTTCCCTCCTACTTAAAATGAAATTATTTAGACTAATCATCTTTGATTTATTCCAGTGGGATTTTTATAGCATCACACTTTCCAGTTGAAGAAAATTAAATTAAAAAAAGATTTTTCCCTATTCCTAGCAGAATGCTTTTTTTTCCTTTTCCACCCACATCCCACATCCTCCTTCTTGAGAAATGACCTCACATCCTGCTCTGTGGAACTGATCTAGTGACAATTTAGTTGTTCCTGATTAACACAGGCTCCCTGTTCATGCAAGACACTATTTTATCTTAGTCCATTTTGCCTTCTGTTCACAGAGGATCTTTCCTTTTGTTCTTCTCACTAACTTCTCTAACATTCTCCTTCCTCTTTGTATCCTAGTCTCCTACAATTTTTTGCTGGAATTAACTTTTCTACTTCTTTTCTACCTTCTATTTCAGTTCTGTCTGCTGTACTTTTTAGTCTCCCAGATGGCAAGCATATTCTTTGGCTTTCCTCTGTTTCCCAGACTGCTCCTGTTATTTTTGTTGCAGACTTCCCTGACTCTCCAGTCTCCCCCGAGGTACCTCTTGTATGGCCTCTCGCTCAACAAGTGCCCACAAATCTCCAGCTGCCCATTCCCTTTGCCTTTTCTTACCCCATTTCCTCAAATCCACACCTTCAGCCTACACTGCCCCCAGGCACATCTCTAGTGAGGTCTTCTCTTGATGACCTTTAGCAGATGACATTGCAGACAAGCACATCTTCTCAGAGAATAAGATACACCCACAGCTCCTGCATCCACTTCTCCTCATCCCTGTCATGTTCCTTGTGCCCTCCGTGGCTGTCTCGATGCTTCACACAGACATTTCCTCTCACCTGCACCTTTAAGGTGAAAATCCCTCTTGTTGCTGGACATTCCTTTCTTTTTCCAGGATTCCCTGTTGCTGGTGGCACACAGGTTAGTGGCACTGAACAGCTGTGCCATTCTCAGCCTGGCATAGGCTGACTGAGGAGTGCATTGCAGGGTGCAGAGTAATGAGAGCAAATTTGGTTCATCTTTTTCAAAGCCATCTATCAACCAGGAGGCTGCTTCACACAGCTGTGATATACAGGGTTGATGTTGAGGCTTCTGAGTGCCCTGCTGGAGTCAAATCCATCTGTTATTACCTGGTGAGTGGTCACTGGAGAAAGAACAATTGAGAAAATAAGAAATAAAATTTGGAGCCCAACACACAAGTAAGATATGACCTAAGAACATGGTTGAGAAGTTCTGGAGAGTGCACAGGGAAAGATGATGTTTCAGTCAGGTTAAATAACATCTGGGTACATGTTTAGATAGACAGAATCTGGTTGAAGGGTCCTTCCCCTCTCACAACAAAATAATCAAACACCCAAACCTCCAGTGAACCAAGAGCATTTCTCAGAGCAAGCACTTTATGGGTACACCAATAACTGTGCCTCACAGTTGTGTTTCTCCTTCAACTCATGAATGTGTTTCATGTCTTAGAAATCCAAATATATTCTCCACTACTTTGTCCAATGCCCATGGGATCATTTATCTGTAGCAAATTTTACTGCAAATGTGATATTTCCAAGAAGCATTACTAGATGAAGTACTGAATTTACCCTGTATTCTGTTCAGACAGAGGCACCATTCCAGATTCTCTGTTACAAGTAAATGCTGGGATCCTACAAAAAGAACTCCGAGGCTTTACCCCAGAAATATGAAATAGGAACACAACAGACTCCTGTTGGACTCAGCTTGGTCTACAAATGAACTGGAGACAGAATTTAGCCATGGTTGTATTTGTAGACATTTTCATTCTGTTGATCTCTGAACAAGCAGTATTTTACAGCAAGATATGTTTCTTACAAAACAACATTCTGGTGGTTTAAGTGCTAATATAGGCCATTTTATGCCACCAAATCTCATCCATTAATGATTCCCAAAGAATGCAATTTCATCCATTCCTGTTTTCAGACACTGATGAAAGAACATGTGACCAGCCATTCATCCTTTCATGACTTTTGGTCCAGTTTCTGAGCAGAATGAAACCATGTAGAGGTTTGCAAAATTCTGTACCATGGTGCAAAAACAACTTATTTGAAATACTCTAAACAAAAGAAACCAAGTTTAGTTCAGGATCCTCTTGGATTGGGCGCAGGCTCAGGAGGGTTGAACGTACTCTCATATTTCTCTAATCAGCTTAAGTACTGCATTTAAATCAAATCAGGAGCGTGCAACAGGTAATGTTTGTGGCATTTATGGTAATAAGGGAGGGATTCTGAAGTGGTTGAATGCAAATTTTTTTGTCTCTCTTTTGTCTTGGTGGATGTTGGATAAGGTTGTGGAGCACAACCCATCATCCTGTTGGTGATCTCCCTGCACAGCCAGCTTCGAGTGCCACCATCCCTTGACTATTTTAAAGGCACCTGCACACTGGCAAATGATAAATCTGTCACTGCACACTCGGAAACATCCCAACGAGTTACTACGTTCCAAACGTTTCTGTGTTTGAAATCCTTTAGCAGCGTTCAGCAGATTTATAATCACTCGAGGCTCGCAGCCCAAACCCCCGGCCGCACGTCGGGCTGAGTTATTACGTGTTTATAGGAATCTGATCAAATGGACCATCACAAGCCGGGGTGGAGGGGGGAGGGGGGGATCTGTTTTAAACTCCGCCGTGATGACAGCTTTCCTCGTCTTACGGCTGCGACATGAAGAGGGAGCTGTAGCTCTTCCGAGCCGCGGCTCAGCCCGAGCCCGCGCACAGCCCCGCGCCCGCTCCGCTCCGCTCCGCGCCCCGCGCTCCCCTCGCTCCTCCGCCCGCTCGGCCTTTCTGGTTTTCCTCCCCTTTTTTTTTTTCATCCCCGTGCCCCTGTGCCAGTCAATCTAAATGTATCAGTTCAAGTGGAGATAATCCATGCAAATCAGAGGCACTGGCTCCCGGTGCTCGATTCACAAAGAGAACTCAGCTTCGGGAGGTCACTCGTTCACAGCTGCTCCTCCCATTATGTTTTTCCCTTATTGCAGAACTGCTGCATGTGTACAGTGACTGAAAGGACTCAATTTACTGCAACTGCTGCCTGGCTTTACTTACAACTTTCTTTAAAGGGGGACTTACCTTCTATCACTCTTGCTAAGGTAGGAAGTCTGATTCTTCTAAAGACGTGTAATGCCTCCAGTGTTTGCTCGTTATCAGATCCCACCATAATGATGCATATTGTTGCCAGAATTAGGTCCTAATAGAATTGCGCCAGGTGCTTGATGCTTTTGTTGCTTGTGTGTATAGATGCAACTGTTTAAACAGCTCATTTACTGTTTATTTAGCCAGCTATGTGTCCCCTACCCCCTGGTTTTCTTTCCCTTTTCATAATGGCAGGTATGATCTCAGCACAGCAGCTTCCTAATCGACAAACGTGATCTTCGACCAAGTTTGTATTCTCTTTTAAAAATGTTTTCTAATGTCTGTGTGAGTCGATGCAGTGCCCTGTACCCCCCAAAAGGAAAACGAGAGCTTTCTGGGCTGAGAGCTTATTAAGGTGCCATCTCTGGAGCAGAACAAACTGTTGAAAGGTTTTAAACAAAAATAAAAAGGTCACCTTTTACTTTGCAGTGTTGTAAACAAGGAAACTCCAGGCCTCACTGCAAATGGGCCTGTCATAAATTTAGACCACAAGATAAACATATAGTTAATAAAATTGCCAGCAGAAGTGGGGAAATGGAACCTTCGCTGTTCTCTGTTAATATTTATTGTTCAGAAAGGTTGGACAGGCAGTGCTTGCCCTGCAAACAAAGTGCAACTCTGAAGCAACTATTTGAACGTGATTCCTAAAAAACTCCTTCAGAAAAGGGAAGTCAGTCCCCACGTCATTAGTTACATTCTAACTTCGAGCATACATCACATGAGATATTGAACTGGTGCATCTGACAGCACACACTGCCTTTAGGAAAGCAGACAGTAAATCTTGCATTTATTAATGTGTATTTCTATGAATTTGTTGTCAGAATTTAGAGCTGAAAATAATTGAAATAACTATATAGACAACTTTGGACACGTTAAATCAAAGTAATGGATTTGAAGAGTAATATATTGCAAAAATTAGAATTTTTCTGACTCGCATTTGTCCCACAGTAAAGTTCTTGTTTGTTGTCTTGCACAGCTGGAGTTAAAAAATGACAGCAATTAGATTTGGAGCCAGGCTGCTTTTGTATAACTTGCTATGTAACATCCTCGAGTTAATCAAGTAACGGGTCTGGGAGGCTTCAAACTGAGCTTAAAATGAAAATTTAGTTGACCAGCCAGGACAGAGAGATGCTCCCAAACATAACCTGTCTAATTTCTTCAAGAATACTTGAGTCATGCATTTCCACTTTACCTTTCTGGATTAGACAGAGATTAGACAGGAGAGTACTTGCTTACTATATTAAGTATTTCAGTGCCTAAAATGTGCATCTTTTCTTTTTGATATACAGTTCCTGCTTTTTGAAAAAAATGCATTCTTGTTTTGGAGTACAGTACAAACCTAGAGAGCCTTGTCATTGTTAGCATAAAGAAGACATCTACACAAGTATTACTGTGCAGAGGGCAATCTTTCTTTCTCTGGCATTTGTAAGGTTACTGTACATAGAATTTAGCAGATAAATATCTTTTGCTTCCTGGCATTTTGGAGATCCTATTGGTATGCAGGTTATCCTGTGAGGATGGCAACTGAAAAAAAGAAATATGTTTTATAGCAGGGTGTCATAAAAGCCCTTCACAATGATGTAAGTGGAGTCTGACCTTTCTTTCTTATCCTGTAATTAGAATTTTTATTAACTCTTTCAAGTGCAGAGTTTTTTGAAAAAATTAATGTTAGAGAGAACAAGCATATATATAAGGTAGGGAGAAAAAAACACATATTTTTGATCTGTGGGCTTCAAAAGTAAAATTTGAGAATCCTTTTTGGACAGGAGAAAAAAAATGTATTCTTCCCAGCAACTCAACTTTCTCCACACAAAGCGATTTTGATTTACAGAAAAGAGACATTTGATACAGGCATCCTGCCTCCCCCAGAAGGAAAAAAAAAATAGAAAACAAAAAAGAAGAGAGAAGCAAAAAGGCATTTCTAAAAAAAGACTTCTTTCATTTTGTGAAAGAGAAGGGGAATGCATTTTAGAGAAGTGAGCTGAACTTAAGGAAAGACATTAAGGATCTTTTGTCTGACTGAATCTCTGGCCAGGGTAAAGTTGGGAAGTAAAGGTGATCCCTGTGGAGTTTAGCAATATACAGAGATGAGATTAGATGACTCACCACTGGAGATACGAAAAAGAGAGAAAAAGGCCTTTCCAAGGAAGGTTTTTTGTAAGTGGATTAAAATATTCTCCCAGCGGACAGTTATTTCCTGATTCCTTCCCACCTTTCACGCCATGACCGATGTCTGACGGGGACAAAAGTGTTCCTTGGTGAGTCATCAGCAGGATTTCATGGAGTCACTTCCCAATTATGTACTCAAGTCTCCTTGAAGGTTCCCCAGGTTTGCCTGGCACAGCTCAGTTTAATCCCTCAAAATAAATGACACGAAATCAGGTGTTTTCATCATCGAGGCCTCTGAATCTATTTGCAGCAAACTCGAAGGAGTGACCCCCGTGTTTCATTTCTAATTTAGGCTGTGCAGTTTTCCTGACCAGCCTGTCAGTGCCCTCCTGCAGCCGGTTCCTTTCTCCTGTTGGGGTGGTTCCTGCTCTGCAAACTCTCCATTGCTAGAGTAACTCAGCAAACACCTCTTCAGGATGAGCTACCTGATCCTCCACTGTAGGGTGCCTTGCAGCAGGATCTATAGGATGAAGTAAACCTTGGAGCTGTAAGCTGAACTATGCCTTAAAAGTATTCTAGAGAGGGGAAAAAAAATCCTGAAAAGTAAGTTGTAGAGGTTTTGAGAAAATATATAGCTATGAATAGGAGATTTAACTGTCAACAAAGTCCTCAGCCAGTGATTTGTCATTAGTATTTTCTATAAGTGCATAGGAAAAATATGTTCCCCACAGCTTCTCATCAAATTACATACACAATTATGTCATAGTCTTCTTTTTATCACTGCCTTCTACTGTAGATTATTAAAATGTAACGTTGCAGAGTACAGACATTGCATATCTTTTGCACATAAAGTGTGCTTATACCTCTGGGGGTTAAAAGCTGAATCAGATCTGTAACTTGCCTACTGATTGCCTTTGGAGTTGCTCCTTATTTATTTATTTATTTATTTTGGTCTAAAGGTTTAGATTGACAACCTTTAATGTGTTTGGAATTCTTCAGCAGATGTAAAATGCTCAGTAATGACTGAAGTTAACCTGAGGCTTTCCATATCCATCCTCCCCAGGAACTGCACTGAAGCTTTAGTAACAGTTGAGAATTTTATGCAAACAACTATTCTCATGAGAACTTCTCATTTTTCTGCCCTCTCTTACTCCCTTTATGATTTCTAGAGATGTTTTAAGTCAAGTGAGACCCCCTTGCTTCCCTCTCTCCCAAATACCTGTTCTGGAGAGCCTACATGAAAATTTTCACAGATGAAATGCACCAAAAGAGGAGCCGATAAAACAAAAATAAGTGGAGTGGAAATGAATCTTTAAATGGCAAGTCTGTGAAACACTGAACATGGTTATCTGACATTATGTCAGTGAGTGTTATCTCTCGAGGAGAAATGAGCAAGAGCAGTCCACACAGGAAAAGTAATTGTTGCTTTACTTCTGTCTGTTTATTTGGGATAGCTTGAACTGCCTCCCACTTCTTATTTTTCTCAGTGTGAAAAGATTAACTACTAGAAATGCAGCCAGTAGGCATCTGACTCAAAAGCAATGCTCATTTGACCCTTGGACACAAAATAATATCTAATGCAAATGAAAATGAAAATCTAAGCACCCTCAAACATCACGGAGTACAAGAAATACGCAGAATGTGGGTCAGTAGAAATTCAGCACTTTTACAAATGAAAACAAAATAAACCACTGAAATCACTTGGTCAGATTAACATTTATTTCTATTCCACATCAGAGTATCAGGTGCTGCAGTTTTGTCCAGCGTACCTGAAGCAAAAGATCTGTGGCAAAATTCTGCGTTAGTTTTAACAACTGCAACTGAAATGGTAGGGAGAGGAATAAAGGGGGAAAGGAGGGTAAGAGGTGCTGGATCAATACATACATATTTGTCAAGGGTTAGGTTTTATAGGAGACAAAGAGTACCCAGGAATTCAGATGTGTTTAAGGTATGTGGTGCTGCCACTTCTTTATTTAGAGGTTACCTTTGCAATGTAAGGGACTTCAGCCCTCCTGCTGTTCGAGTTGTGCTGTGTTGGTTGGGGGGCTGTTGGGTTTTTTGGTGTTGGGGGAATGGTACATGAACATGCACGAGTGGGAATGGATACAAATCCCCCAGTCATTAGACACCATTTCTTGCTTCTCCTCCTGCCAAGTTATGAAGGCAGAAGGCAGGAAAGACCAAATGCATTCCATGTGAGACAAAGGACTGAGAGAGGGATGCAGGTTCTGCCTCTGGAGAAATAAGACTTGACACAACAGGCCTTTGGAGCCAGGACTTTGATATCTGCCTTGCCCCTCCAGGAAAGTCTGTGACTTAGAAAATGCCCTCTGAGGAAGGAGATGAAATACTTGTTAAACTCAAGCGACAGTCCCCATGCAATTTTTGTTACCTAGTCTGTGCACTGGCTGTGTTACGTGAGTTCACGGAATGGTAACAGTATAATGTTAACTGGCAATCCAAAATTTAAAAAAGGAAAGAAATTTCAGAATTTGCTCAGTGACTGTGAGAATATATAACTCCCACCACCCTTACAGCTGAGGCAAGAATCATTTACTTGGAGGAGGGTAGGAACATTATATATACATATATATATTGTGTGTGTGTGTGTGTATATATATGTATATATATAGGGGAGGTATATTAAGCTTTTCTTACTAAAATTTCATTGTGTTGAGTCCAAACTTGATCACTGCAGGAACAGCCAGGTAAGTGAGCAGTGAGCAGCCTGGTTGGAGGGAGGATCCACAGAGACCCCAAGAGCAGAGACCTTGGTCCACATTTCCTGCACAGCTCCAAAGGTTTCTGCTTCTCCTGTCCAGCAAGTTCTGTGCCTCCTCTTTCAAGA